ATATATATATATATATATATATATATATATATATATATATAACATATATTTATCAGTACAAACTCGTGGATTCCTGTTTTATTCAATCAATAAAAATAAGTTGCTACACTCATTGCTTTTGGTTCACATTGTCTCAGATTGCTCAATTAGGAGTTCCTTCAAGCCAGTGAGTCCTCTAGCCCTGTTACTCATTAGTGATTGAGTAACCACTGCATCAGTGGTTCAGACAGGACAGTGGAATATGTATGTCTGTCTGGCCTTTTGTGAGTAGTTGTGACTTAACTGGTGTAATTTCTACTTACAAGCCACAAGTAAGAGCTTTCTGAATGATCATTAGATATGATTCATGTTTACATTTCAGTGGCTATTGCCAAATTATTTACTTTGGGAACCAGTATTTATTCTAATATATGAATGAATGTTGAGATTGCAGATAAAATATGTGTTTAAGCTCAAGTAGTGAGTCATGCAAGAGAATTTACTTTTTTAAATCTTATTATCTCTGCTGAGTTTGAACTATAAGAATATCACTTAGCATTTATTTGTGAGTTATTTTCTCTATTTCTGATCTGGAGAATCATTGGGCTCTTGAAGTAAATCAAATGATAGAAATTTTTCCCAGCTAGATTGTTTCTTGGTTTCTTAAGTATATTTATCTGTAAATTATTTTATAACAGGCCTGCTTTCCTACCTATTTTGTTATTATGGTGCTAGTGCCTAACATAAGGGTATCAATAAATAGTATAATCTAATCTCAGTAAATAATTATTTAATGATATTTAAATGGCTATATTTATATATTGTCTAACATAAGTGAAATATCACATTAAGCATTTTACGTCTTTAATATTTATATCAACCCCTTTAATCTTACCCCAACCCTGAGAAGAGTTTCACAATTTTATGGATTAAGATTTTTAGAACTAGACACAGTTATTTCCCCAAGGATACACTGCTAGTGATTAAGTCGAGGAAAGTTCAAACCTAACATGATCTGATTCCAACACTTATAAATTAAACTGGTGGGCAATTCATAACAGTCATTACTGAAGAATTTCCTCATTGGTTATACAGAGAGAGAGGTCCTGTGAGATTTCATTAGTGCCAAAGTATTAGGGATTCCTACCTTTGTGGAGCCTTCATTCAACAGAGTCCATTGTCAAAGCCCTTGTATTTGATCCTTCAGGATTCATCCTTTGAGGACACTGGCCGCTGGGCCACATAGCAGGAATGGAAATTTTAGCCAGAGCTCATATCCCTAGTGCTTAGAGCCCTGTCTCCTTCACAGATATCACCAACATAGTCCTTAGGTTTTTAGTTACCTCCTATAAGCAACAGGAATGCCATATGCTCATTTGACATTTTCAGAAACTCATGTCCAGCTCTTTCTCAAGCTTTGGGGAATCTTGGAATGAAGGTAGGGGAAAACTTAGCCCAATTGTAATATTGAGTGAGAAATCAACTTTATTTTTTTGTAAGCTATTGAGGTAACTACATCTTTATCTCAACAAAGCCCACTCGCGTTTATAATGCTAACAAAAGGATACTTGAAAGGAACATTCTAAGAGGGGCCTCAGTGAAGCTCACAGTGAAGCTCTAAGATGTTTTGGGCTTTTTGAGTTTGTGATGATGTTAGGACACCTCCATGTGGTGGTGTCTTGTAAGGCGATTTTGCTGTCTCTTAGCAGAGTGCCTGGCACAAGGTAATTAGTACTCAGCAAATGCTTATGTTAGGGAACTGTTGAATTTGAACTGAGATTCAGAGTCAGAGCTGTACACAGAGGGAATAGAGCATTGAGGACACAATGCCAGGATTTCCTACCTGGTAGAAAAGCACAGGGTCAAGTATTGAGGCTGTGAAATGTATTGGGTAGGATTTAACAG